AAGAGAGTGGCAAAAAAATTCAGTCACATTATTAAAGATGTTACCTAACTCTTCCATCATAGCACCCATCACAGTTGCAGCCAATTATTTATAAGATTTGTTTATTTTCTGTCGTTGCTTCCATACTGGAACTTTGTAAGGACAGAAAAAATGACCATCTTATTCATCAACATGTCCATCTCTGTTAAATGGATCAAAGAACGAATGCATAGCCTTGGGGAATGTGTAGAATTTTCAGCTGGTGAGAGGAGAACATTCCAGATACAGGGAGCATCATTAACAAATTCCTAAGTCAGGAAAGCTCAGCCACCTGCCTAAAGCTTAGGGTGAGTGTAGTAGAAGAGTGAGAAACTACATTGGGATGGTAGGCAGAGGATGCAATGCATAGATTCTTGTTAGCGGTCATTAAGGAGAACAGAACATTTCAGAGTTGGTTGGTGATATGGTAAGAGCTCTGCTTTTGGAAGAGAAACTTGGCAATGACTTGTTAGATTGACCACAAGGGGACAGAGTGGGTACAGCACTGGCCAGAGGCCACGTCAGTGGCTGGGAAGCTACTGAGATCTTGATTTGGGCTTAGCAGAGGAACAAAATTGCAATAAATGCATTTCTAGCACTATTAAAGATGGGAATTGAGATGGCTTATTAAAATGTAAGTAAGAGAGGGGCGCGTCCGTGGCTCAGTTGGCTAAGCGTCCGCCTTTGGAGTCCTGGGATCCATCCCCACCTCGGGCTCCCTGCTCAGCAGAGAGTCTGCTTCTCCTTCTGCCCCTCACTGAGCTTGTGCTCTTTCTCTCAAATAAATAAATAAAATCTATAGAAAAAAATAAATAAAATGTAAGAAAGAGAAGGGTAAAATAACAATGGGAAGACCAAGAGAACCATAGATATCAGAAGCAGGCATTACATTTTGTTTTGTTTTCTTTGCTTTTGTTTGCAGGGATATGGGGTGCAGAGATAGAACATATGGTAAGAACAGGCAGCGTTCTTCCAGGTGGAGGACTTAGTTGCAGATCCCTGAGGCTGTCATATAGGAGATGTTCAATGCCAGACCTTGAATAGAATGATAGTAACAGTAATAAAATTTGTATGAAATGCTTTCTGAAATAAAGGAAGTTAAAATTAATTCACAGGAACCTCAGGAGAAATTTAAAATAAAAAAATTAGAATAGGACTATGACAAAAAAGGCATAGGATGAGACATTTTAGAAAGAAATATTGACTACATTGACAAGCTTTGCCCCACAAGTGTTCACTTGTTGCCTGCCATGTGTCTTGGATTTCACCCTGTATTTGTAGAACAGAAAAGAACTTTGCGGTGTCTTCCAGTCTTTCCTTTTGCTTTCAAGTAGATGACAATTAAATATTCTAGGTACATGAAAATCTTCTTAATTTTTGAAGAGATTTCCCCCAAAAAGAAGTTTTTAGAAACTGAGTCACTTTATATTTGGGTGTTAAATATCATTGTCCGCCAAGAAATTTTTCTTTGTGTAATCATACTTTGGTATAATTAATAACTTATACTAAAAAGTAAGCTATATATTTTTTTGGTCTGTGGCTTGACAGATTGCATTTGACCAATCCCTTTGAATGCTAAGTCTTAACTTATTGAAGTCTATTATAATATCAACCCTTCAACTTGTTTCTTGAATAACTCTAGTCTAATAATTCCAGTCTCATAAGTACAATTTTTAAAACCCATAATTGCTTTTGGATGACCTCTGAACCTTCTTTAAAAGTTTATATAATCCTTTTAAATTCTGTACAGTCTAGAATAGGCCTTTGTAAAATTATCTGCATGTTATACTTCATTTTAACGTTATTTCATTAAATACTTTACAAAAAATGAGTATTAACAGGTAATAGGAGGAAATTACCAGGTTATATGCTTCTGTTTGTGAGGGAGTGGTATTGAGATCCTGCTTTAGGGGCTACCAGAGAAATGAAACAGCAGTAAATGCATATTTAGCTGTCCTACAGAGGTAGAAATGAGAGGACTTATTACATTATTAGATACAGCATTTTGGAGAGGAATGGCTTACAAGTCACCGAAATGGGAAGATCAGGTAAAATATGAGAAATTTTAAGAACACTGCTAAATATATTTATTCAGGTTCCTTATATGTTGGTCTTCTCTGAGCTTTGGTATGCTAATATTCAACATATATATACAAGTGGGGTTTAGAAAAAGCTCATCTACATAGTATTCTTAGGGCGTTTATGAATCCAAGCTTTCTTTGGTCACAATGGTGATCCATTGCTGAACCTAAGTGTACACCATAAAAACAGCTAATGTTTATGGAGCATCTGTGATAACTTCACATTTATTATCTCATTTTACTATTCAAAACCATTCTCCAACATTGGGTATTACTTTTTTTTTTTTAAATGACTTAAGTCTCAAAGATATTAAGCAGGTTCCTAGTGTAAATGGTGATATCAAGATGAAACTCATTTCTGTCTATCACCAATAGGCTCTATTGCCTTCTCCTACATTCAAAACATATTAAAGTCACATATAAGTTTCAGAGTTCGTTGAACTCACCTAGGAACTTTCCCCCTGCAAGAGGCTTGCTTGCTTGGAATCACATTGCTTTTCTATTTTTCTATTGAAATTTTATTTCAAAAGAATTTAAATCAGTGTTATATACACAGCTGAACATTTCCCAAAAATGAGTGTCTTTAAAGAGAACCAATGCTAAGATTTCTTTTGGAACAGGAGATCGAATTGGCAAAGGAGAGGGTTGAATATGGGTTGGTCAGAGGTGTGCTGGTAAATGTTAACCAGCTCTCTGAGATAAAGAGGCAGAGCCCAGGTTTATAACATTTTCTTATTTTCATGGTATAAATACTGCCCCATGGCTTATTTCAAGCTACCAGCTTGATGTCACTGAGTGTGGAATTGGGAAATGATGCACAATAGCACACTGTGTATAGAATTTCTTGCATACACAGTAGATATAAATGAGCTCAAGAACATGTGTAAATGTTAAGTGATAAGGTCTGAATATTCATAACCTTAGTTTTTAATATGATTATATTGTTAGTTTATATAATTTGATTTTTAGTAATGACTTTAACAATACAGTCACAAATTCCAGAAAATTCAACAAATGGCTCTTGTAAGCCATTAATAAACTGGCTTCAGCACACTCCTGGGATGGATTAAAAGATCTATTTTGAGTCATGTAGAAAATAAACTCTGGGGAAAATTTTAGCTCTATCTCAATACATTTCTCTCCCACTCTTTTGAAGTTTAGTGTATTAGTTTTAATAATGGAATTTCAGTAGTATGGGTCTTTCTAGGAAGATTGCAATATATTCCTTACTAATTTACATTGATCATTCATATTTGTGGGGTATGACTCAGAGCAGCTCGTGTGATTCAAAGTTAGCATGAAGATCAAGGTCATTTTGCCTCAAGGATAAATGAAAATACAGAATCGGTTTTGAAGATCATTGTCATTTCTATTACTACTGACTATGAACCAGTACCTTATTTTGAAACTTCACTCAAAAGAGGGCATGTATTGAATGGAGCACTGGGTGTTATATGCAAACAATGAATCATGGAACACTACATCAAAAACTAATGATGTAATGTATGGTGATTAACATAATAACATTTTCTAAAAAATGGAAAAAAAAAAAGGAAGGACAGAAACTTGGCTTAAGAATAATGTGAACAGGGGCACCTGGGTGGACTCAGTCGGTTAAGCGTCTGCCTTTGGCTTGGGTCATGATCTCAGGGTCCTGGGATCCAGCCCTGCATCAGGCTCCCTGCTCAGTGGGGAGTCTGCTTCTCCCTCTCCGTCTGCCCCTCCCCCACCAGCTCATGCTCCCTCTCAAATAAATAAAATCTTTAAATTAAAAAAAAAATAACGTGAACAGATATAACTCTAGCCTATGGTAATTTGGCAGATAGTTTAGAGTACTGAATGTCATTGTAAGACTGAAGATAGGTTATATGATTTACAATATTATGTATGGAAAATATGCTCTGTTATTTTTTGCAATGTTAGATTAATAATATATTTTATATATTAAACTAAGGAAATAAGACATTATTTAGGCATGTTTCTCACTAGACTTAACAAACTTTGTCTTATGAGGTAAAAATGATGGTGATAACATATTTTTTGATTATAAGCTTAATAAGGTACTTGTTAATAAATTGTGTGATCTGCCTTAATCTTCTATGAATAAATCCCCTCAGCACTCTTCTGTATTTGCAATATCAATCCTTAATACTATGTGGTGTATATTGAAAATTTTCTTTAGAAACTCTATAACTAAGCCTATACATGCAAAGAGAAAGAAAAGTGAAATAAATCATCCAAAATTTGGCTAACCCAGATTTTCAAATGATTTTTATACAGTACTTTCTAGTTTTTCACTTGGCTTATTTAGAATCAGTCTAAGACTCTTTCCATAGATGTGCATTAATAAAAAGATCGAGTTATTTGACAGTCAATTTAAAGGGTTTTGTGAAAAAAAAATTTATTTACAATGGTGTCAGTGTTTTCTGGGCTGATACTCTTGGTGGATATCGTAAATTGGATCCACTATAAATGTTGCTTTCATGCAAGTTTCTATATTACAGTAGTTAAGACTTGTACTTTGGAATCATATAAACTTTTTATTTTCTAGTATATATTACTTGCTTCCAAAGAGTATGATATGAAAAGAAGAGGAAAAACAATGGGGGTGGTAACTTTATAGTGGAGAAACCTGACAAGCACTACCTGAAGCCAAGTGCTTTTAGCTCAACATCCAGGGTGATAAGAAATACTGATAGAACATACCCTCAATGTGATGTGATGAGAACGGCACTTTACCTCTGTGGTCTTCTCCCCAGAAATACATTTCCTCCATCTAACCGCAAGAAAAACATCAGGCAAATTCCAATCGAGTGACCTTGCACAAAATGACTGACCAGTATCCTCAACACTGGCAAGGTCATGAAAAACAAGGGAAGTCTGAGAAACTAGCAACCAAGAGAGCCTAAGGAGACATGATGACTGTGTATAATGGATCTTAGATGGGACCCTGGGACAGAAAAAGGACACGAAGGGACAACTGAGGAAATCTCAGTACAATGTAAGCTTTAGTTAACAATTATGTATCAGTATCGGTTCATTAATTTTGACAAATGTACCTACCATATGAATATGAGATTCTAATAATAGGGAAAACTGAGTGTGAGATTATATGTTCTATATGTACTATTGCTACAAAAATTCAGCCAATCTAAAAATGTTCCTTAAAAAAACATTGTTGAGCGCTGTGAATTGTGTAAGACTGATGAATCACAGACTGGTACTCCTGAAACAATTAATACATTATATGTTAATAAAAAATTTTTAAAAAAGTTTATTTAAAATAAAACTGCATATTCAACAGTGTAGACGTATCTCATCACTTAATATTCAGCCAAAGATGCAAGACACAGAGTGCATATGAGATAAGATTTCATTTTTATTAAGTTCAAGGATAGAACTAATCTCTGCTATTAGGAGTCGTGAAGATGGTTTCACTTGGGAGAAGAAAGTGACTGGAAGGGACCCAGAGGCATCTCCCGGGGTGCTGGCAGTATTAGATTCTTGGTCTCCGTCTGGGTCACCTGGGTATGCTCACCTTGGAAACAATTCACTGAGCTTTTGTTAGGATTTTTATGCTGGTTTATATATATGTTATACTGCAATAAAAATAAAAAAGCAATGGGGTTATTTGGTTTTGCCCAGTGGCTTTTGGAATACATAGATTATGAAGGTTTTTTAGCCTTAAATTGAACACCAAAATGCATTTTATGGGAATGATTTTTAAAAAATCAAAAGTTAGAAACTGTAGTATTAACCCATAAATTGTTACATGGGCATGTTACGGTGTGAAATTCCAACCTGAGTCTGGGATGGGTTCGATATCTCTCCTGTACCCGTACAGAGCTCTGACAAACTTCTATTATTGTTCTTACTGTCATTGTATTGCAATTACCATTTTATATGCCTGTTTTCTTCAATAGAATAAGGTCATGGAGAGCAGAAACATTATCTGACTCATCTTCTGCTTTCCAGCTGCTGACATATGTTCTCACAGGTAGTATGTGGTCAGTAATGATGACTGATACTCATGAACTAAAGAATGAATACGTAGGGCGCCTGGGTGGCTCAGTTGGTTAAGCGACTGCCTTCGGCTCAGGTCATGATCCTGGAGTCCCGGGATCGAGTACCACATCGGGCTTCCTGCTCGACAGGGAGTCTGCTTCTCCCTCTGACCCTCCCCCCTCTCATGTGCTCTCTCTCTCTCATTCTCTCTCTCTCAAATAAATAAATAAAATCTTTAAAAAAAAAAAAAGAATGAATACGTATATACTTCAGTAAGTGCATACTGAGCATCATTTACTTTTTTGAGATGTGTTCATGTATAATGTTTCTGATCATTCTCCTCATCCCTTTCTTCTCTCTTTCTGAAATACATCTTCCTAGAAATGGACTGTAGGGTGTCTCAAGTTGATCGTACCAATATTTTTATCTTTTTCTTTCCTATTTTCCATTGCAGTCATTTTGTTCTGCTTTCTGGGGCTTTATCTTCTGTCCCTTTCCTGGAGTTTTAAATAGGTTAATAAAATGTTAAATATGTGGGAGCTCTTTCTTATTTTTTATTGCATATTTTCATAGGACAATATTCTTTTTTAGTGGACGCAGTATATTCTCTGTCTCTCTCTGAAGATATTTATGTGTGAGGTTTACTTTTTTTCTGCATTGTATTCTTTCTAAATCCTTTTTCTCTGTTTTTCCCCTCCTGAGCCAGTGGAGGTAGGAGAAGGTTAAGGAGACCTTTTTCACCTCTAAAATTTTTCTGAACTTTTCTACAGCAACTACTATGTGTCAAACAATGTGTTAGGTACTAGAGGGGATAAAAAGACTATTTTGGTCTTCTCATAAGTCCACTGTCCAGTTTTCCATGCAAAAGGAGTAGAGGTAGGAGCAGAATATTTCAGACAGGGAGCCATCTTATACTAATACACAGAAGTAATAAATAGCATGGCATGATCTGGGAAGGGCCAATTAGACTTAGCTACCATGTAGAGGCAATTGTAGGGATAGTAAAAGATGAAGTTAGAAGGATAGGTAGAGAGACCAGATCATATAACATGTTTTGTATTCATTCAAATTAGGATTAACTCTGAGGGGTTACCTATCAAAATAGGAGTTTAAATGAATTGGAAGTCCACTTTTTTCTCATATAAAGTAGGTAGTCCAGCGCACCTGCTGCTCTGTGATCCAAGATGGCCACTCCAGCCATCACGTCAGCATTCCAGAGAGGAGAGCAAATCAAAACCTCGTCCCTTAAGGATGTTTCCTGGAAGTTTAAACTTTACCTTCCACTGGCTAGGCCTTCACTGTACATCACATCTACTAGTTACACAAGAGCCTAGGAAATGTAGACTTTTGGCAGAGAGTGGCCCTGTGCCCTGCTAACATTCTTTTAGTTGGGTATTCTTTCGCTAAGGAAGAAGAGGGGATTTGCTAGGGAACAATTCAGTCTTGTTTAGGAGTTTAGATTTTATCTAGACTATGGGGGAGGGACCACTGAAGAGGTTTAAGCCAAGGAATCCCCGCTTCAAAAAGGTCACTCTGGCTGTGACATCAAGGATAAAGTGACGTGAAATTAGCAACTGTCTGAGCCATTAGGCAACCATGAGAAGCACCCAAGTATGAGAAGTCTGACGTGTCACAGCTGTCCAGCGGGGCTGGAGAGAGAACATCAGTGCCAGTGACATTAAATGACTGAATTGATTTTGGTTTTTTATCCTCAGAGTTGTATATTTGATTTATAATTATTTATGGAGTGCAATCACCATAAGTCTAGGCCTGACTCAAATAGATGGTGAGCAATACTGTTGACATCAGAAAAACATACCAAGATATAGTGGGCCATCACTGGAGCCTGAGTGTAGACAAAAAGCTGGTAGAAGGACAGAAAAACTTCAGAAACTTCATAAAGCAAAAGAGATGTACTTCTCACCCCTGAAATCTTAGAGGACTTTTGTCCTATTGGTAGAGAAGCTTTTTTTCTCTAAGGATGTGTACTATGATTTTTTTTTAATGGCACATACACATGGTAAACATTTAAATACAAAAAGATATATCAACAAAGTATATTTTTCTTTACATTCCAAAATTTGAGCACATGGTAAGTCCTGTCTCATAAGTACTGTTTATTCACCTTCCTGTGTACACACACATACACACCCCTTCTTTATTAAAACATGTATTATTTGCAGAGGATTTCCAACATAAGTTCTTCAACTTACGGAATTTAACTAGGTATGCAGATTTAGCATAACAAAGGATATTGGGAGGTGGGTTTAACTATGCAATCTGTTCATTGTCCATGGGTTCAAGAACGGGGACATATATATTCTTGTCTAGTGACAAGAATCAAGTCTCAATGACCCCTACTCCCCCCAGAGTTGTATAAGAATCCCTTTGAATTGAGTGTGATTCTAGTATTTATAAGTGTGCATATTTGTATTATTATTCATATATATATATAGCATGGACTTTGAATGCAAGCTAATTACTTCATCTAGTGCTCAATCAAATGGTGATTCTGTCCAAAGGATGGAGGAAAAGCTCACTATGTTAGAATTGTGGAAAAAGGATATATCAGTCTCCAATATATATTCCTAAGGGCTTTTCAGAAGAACCGTGATCTCACTGTATGCACTGTTCCATATCTTTGTTCTTGTTTAAAAATACAGGTTCTTAATCTTTCCATGACAGGCATATCACCCCATGCAAACCTTTCTACATTAGTTTTTTGAAGAGCTGCACTGCGTATACTCAGTTCCCTATTGTTGAACATTTAATTTTGTTTTGTATTTTTGTTTTGTTTTGTTTTAGTTTGTGAGAATTTGTTTTTGTTTTTTCTTGTCTTTTATGCACAGTGTTTAGATTAGCATTCTTATATTCATGTACCTATGTTACAAATAGTACTTCAGTGAACATGAGAAAGAGTACATGCATAGAAATACATACACATAGATAATGTGACTCCTAGATAGAGAGTTGCGGGCCCAATGGTATGTTTATTTTGCACTTTGCCCACCAGAACTAGTCTTCCATATGCTCCCACACAAAGATTTTCATGGTGCCGCAGGTAGATAACATAAATGCATGGAGAAGCCTGTGTGTAAGCTGTTTGTGCTGAGACCAAGCAACCTCTTTATATTCTCTTTTAAAACATTGTCCACCAACTATGTAAATCAAATAGCCCATTTATGTTACATGCTTACCCAGACAATATTGGAAAATTTTTCACTTTTGCTATTTTCTCAATGAAAGATGATATTTTAATGATAAGGTTGAGCAATATATATTTATAAGCAATATGCCTGTCTTTGTGAACTTCTGCATTCCCTTCGTGAGCCATGACAATAAAGATGATGAGAGCACAGGTCCTGAAGATCCACTGCCAAAAAGAAAACAAAAGAATGTCATGAAAAACATACCAAGATAAAGTGAGCCATCACTGGAGCCTGAGTGTAGACAAAAAGCTGGTAGAAGGACAGAAAAACTTCAGAAACTTCATAAAGCAAAAGAGATGTGCTTCTCATTGTTCACATTTTCCCTTGTTTTTCATTAATATACAATCTGCCGGCCTTTCCCCATCACTTGCTCATTTATTGCTCATGTTAACTCTGGCCTGTGGCAATGATGAGTGCTTAATAATGTGATACTTAATGACATAAATGCTCAGTTTCTACTAGGGATTGTATATGTTGGCTTGTTGACATTAAGTCCATAAAATTGAATTGTACACATAATCGGAGGATGAGAAATTTATTGTGTTGACAGGAATTTTCAATGGATGGTTTTTCTTGAGTTCAGGAATTGAAGTTTTTAAAAAAGATGTTGATGATACTTAATAGTTTAGTGTGTAAAGGAAAGTATGGAAGGAGATGGACCCATAGATAAACTTTCACATAAATTAGCAAACAAAAAAATGAGAGGAAGGAGGGGTAGAAGTCATAGTTTAGTAATACTTGAGGATCTCATTTAATGCTTCATTTTTCCCCCTAACATTTCTTAATT